CACAAGAATGTGGAAGATGATTCTGAATTTTTCCTTTTCATGGTTATAAAATAGCACAGTAGCATCTGGCTACAGAAACATGTCTCATCTGAAAGAAGAAACCTGACTGTGCAGCTTCATAAAATGTGCTTATGATCTACAGACAAGAGTTTGCCAAAAAACAAAAAAACAAAAAAAGCCCCAAAAATAAAAACCCAACAGCAACAAACACCCCAAAACAATAACAGTAACACCAAAAAAATTAGAGTCACTGAGTATCTGATAGGTGCTCATGTCTGCCAGAACACAGCCCTTCAAGAGCAAAAGATGACCCACAGTGTGCATCACATCATTCCCATCAGAGCACTGGCCCCAGTAAAGCCTAGTCAGTGAGCTCAGCCCTTCAGTCAGTACTGCAGTCCAGTGGTAGCTGGAGCAACATCACATTTTTAAAGCCCATGAAAATCACTTACTCTACCTGCTCAGAGTGGGTACTGAAACAAGATCCCTGTGCTAACACATCCTTTCCTCTCCTAAGAAAAGGGTGTGGGCAGACAACTGCTTCATGGTTTTCTTCTGCAGCTGTAATCACTTATTTTGGTTTTCCCATTAGTAAACATCCACTGTTTATGACTCATGTTGATTAACATATATCTTCCCCCTGTGTTTTGAGACAATCTCATTTTGTAGCTTGCCTTTCCCTCCCCGGTGCTGGGATTAGACTCCATTCCTGTTCAATCTGTAGGATGCCCAGGCGTCTATAAAGCAGTCAGGATATTTCTAAGGGTTCAGCTAACAACTTCATGTCAGCCACTGTTGTGCACAGTTTAATAATCTCACAGCTCACTCATGAACCATTTCCAGACCACTTTCTATTACAGAATGAATGAAGGGTATTAATTTTCATTGAAAAACTGGACTTGAAGGTAGCTCAGTTGATAAAAAGCTTATCTTGCAGACATAAGGACTTGCATTTAATCCCCATAATTTATGCAAAACGCCAGGTGTGGTGGCATACACCTATAATCACAGCACTGGGGAGGCAGGAACAGGTGGACTTCGGAGGCCGCTGGACAAGCAGCCTAGCCTACTTAGTGAGCTCCGGGTCAACAGGAAGTAGGCAGCATTGCAGAGGCACCTCAAGTTGTCCTCTGGCCTCATGTGCACCCCACAGCCACAAGAAAACTTGTTTGTTTGTTGTTTGTTTGAAGAAACAAGAAATTCTAACTCCTTACAATGACAGTTCCAACATTAAGATTGAGAGAATTTGTTTTGTTTTATATACAACATAATCAAAACCAAGCACAGAGCCTAGCAATAAACACAGGAATTTTAAAATACTTTTCAGAAAATAAGTGGGATGTTTAAAAACATATTATAAGCCATTGACTTTTAGAAGCAAAATGATTTGACATTTTCTACAAGCTATTTACAAGAATCAAGAAAAAAAATCATTAGTGCCCACCAGGAGGCGCCAAGGGCCGCTACAAACAGGCATTCCCAGGCAGTTCTGGACCCCAAGTTGGTTTTTAAATTCTCTCATCACTTGGCAATATTTTTTAAAGCAGCTTAAAAAAATTTATGCAAAAGTCCAGACTTCCAGCTCTTGTACAGCAGGAACCTTTCCACACTGGGCTAACAGAGGGGCAACTGTTTTGTAATTTGTCACCTGACATGGTAGATCCTGAGCTTAGTATCTGACAAATGACAGGTCTTCATTAACATAAAGTGTGAGGAACAAACGTATTACCAAAAAACTATTTCTTTCTCCTCCTTTTCCTTTCCTTTCTTTTTTTCCCTTCTTCCCCGAGACGGGGTCCTGCTGTACAGTGCAGGCTGTCCTTCAATGTCCAGTGCCCACTGTGCTCAGCTGGGGGCTTCCAGTCTGGTAACCTCTCTTTCAATTAAGATCCTGTGTTTAAGATTTCTGTATTGGCCAGGCAGTGGGGGCTCTCACCTTTTATCCCAGCACTCAGGAGGCAGAGGCAAGCAGATCTCTGAGTTCAAGGACAGCCAGGACAGCCAGGACTACACAGAGAAACCATGTCTCAAAAATAAGTAAGTAAGTAAGTAAGTAAGTAAGTAAGTAAGTAAATAAATAAATAAATAAATAAATAAATAAATAAATAAGCAAAACAAAACAAAAAAAGATTTGTCGCGCAATCATTACTAAGTATGAGAAAGTTATAATATTAATGTGAAAAACTAAGGGGAGATGTGCTCACCTTTCTCTATAGACTAGGATGCAGGCCTTAAATTACTCCTCTCACTAAAATTTAACAAGATAAAATAGGGTTTTAAGATACTTATTGATTTTATGTAAATAACTTCAACCTTTCCTAGCCTCCCTAAGACATCAGCTGAAAGGACAGGCATGTAGCGAAGGAAGCTGTGGAATGCATTAGCTCACCTGGTTTCAAGTCTCACTTGGTGGTCAGAGTTTTCATTCCAAGCTCCTTTCTGACTACTAAACGGTCTGTCAGCCTAGGCTATAACTCATTCTCATCCAGAAAATAAAAATTTTTTTTTTAGCTGCCCTAAAGCTAGCTTTCCACGCCTTCAATTTCCCTTCCCTTTCCTATTGCCCACTTTAAAACAGACTTGTTATTCTGCATGCACAGTCATTATTTCTGTATATAGTGCTAACTTGCGGAGTAAATTCTATCCATCAGTTAAGATTCAAATTGCTACATTCTCCATAAAACCTCTTCTGACCCCTTGTATTGGGGGAGGAAGGAGTCTGTTGCTGTGGGATGTCTTTCTGTGTGCTGGAATATGTTTTGCTCTCACTGGTTGATAAGCAAAGCGGTTTGGCCAACGACGAGGCAGAATAAGACTAGGTGGTACACTCAAACTGAAGATGGAGATGAAGAAGGGTGGAGTCAGGCAGAAGCTGCGAACTGCCGCCAGGAGAAGCAAGATGTGAGAGAACAGGCAATGCCATGAAACCGCATGGCTAAACATAGATTAATAGGAATGGGTTGAGTTAAGTTCTAAGAGCTAGTTAGTAATGAGCCTGAGCCATGGACCAAACAGTTTGTAATTAAAATAAGCCTCTGAATGATTATTTTATAAGCATCTGCAAGAGCTTGGGTGGGAGAGATTTGTCTGGACTGCAGGGCTAGGTAAGACAGATAAGCTTCCGTCTACAGTCTGTGTACCTTCAAAGTTTGCTATACTCCATAATGCATACCTATTTTTTTACTTGTTGGAAGGGGGCTTTGCAAGCACTCTGCCCTGAACTATACTAGCAGCCCCTACAATGTATACAGGTTTTCATGCATGTATGATCCCCACTTCCTTCCAAAGCACTTAAGAACCTTTCCTTCCAACTCATAGAGTCCTTGAAGGCAAGGAGGCCCACTGTTCACTCACTACCAGAGTATTCACTCTGGCCCTCTTCCTGCTCTGGATGCAAAGCTGAGTAAGACAGGATGCAGTCTCTACTCTCTGGGAAGACAGTGTTTTCAGGCTATCACAAGGACAGAAACAGTGTCAGTGTAGAATGTAGGACAAGTAGCTGAGTGATTAGGGAGGATTTCCCAGTGAAGCGAGATGTTAAGGAGGAGAAAGTGCTTCAAGAGGCAGAAATAGCACATGAAAGGGGCCACAGACAAGCAGGGAAAATCAGAGCAATCTGGTATTGGTCAAGGCTGGATGGGGTGCTAAGAGCTAAGGCTGCAGAGAAATAGGTCACTAGCAAAGAAGCTGCACTGCATTGTACTGACTACCCTTCTACTGTGATCAACACCACAACCAAGTCTCACGAGAGACTTTGTGCTCACAGTTCTAGAGGGTTCAAGTCCATGGTGTGGAGCAAAGGCATGGCAGCAGAAGCAGGAGGCAGAAGGACATCTTCAACCACAAGCAAGGAGCAGAGAGAGCAAACTTGAAACGCTAAATCTTGGAACTCTCAAAGCCAGCCTCCAACGACACACTCCTCCAACAAGGCCACATCTCCTGAACCTCCCCAAACAGCACCACCAACTGGGAACCAAGCACACAAACAGAGGCTTGGGGGAGGATGCAGAGGGGTGGGGCGCAGGAAGGCATGATGTCTCACTGAAGCCATCACAGGCAAGAAGGACAGTTAGCCAGACTTGTTTTCAGAGTGCAGAAAAACTGGGGACAGGAGGAAGAGACCAATTCAAGACATTAATCAGCGAGATGCAAGGGAGCCTAAATCAGGGAGTAGACTATTTAAAAAATATTCAGAAAAAAATGTGAGAAGGAGGAATGAACGGACAGGTCCAGAGCCTGCTACACCTTTCCCTGTCCCACACACACAGGAGAGGGTGGATGGATGGTGTCCAGCACCTAACTCTGTGTGTCCCCCCGCCACAGAACATGGTGGATGGATGGTGTCCAGCACCTAACTCTGTCCCACCCACAGGAGAGGGTGGATAGATGGTGTCCAGCACTTAACCATGTCCCATACACAGAGAATACAGTGGATGGACAGTGTTCAGCACCTAACCATGTCCTGCACACCCAGAACATGGTGGATGGATGGTGTCCAGCACCTAACCCTGTCCTGAACACACAGAACAGGGTAGGTGGATGGTGTCCAGCACCTAACCCTGTCCTGCACACCCAGAACATGGTGGATGGATGGTGTCCAGCACCTAACCCTGTCCTGAACACACAGAACAGGGTAGGTGGATGGTGTCCAGCACCTAACCCTGTCCTGAACACACAGAACAGGGTGGATGGATGGTGTCCAGCACCTAACCCTGTCCTGAACACACAGAACAGGGTGGATGGATGGTGTTCAGCACCTAACCCTGTCCCACAGACAGAACACCATGGACAGATGATGTCCAGAGCCTGTCCTTGTCTCAAACACAGAATATTGTGGATGGTGTCCAGAAAATGTGATGTTCTTGGGGGCAAAGGCCATCTCCTCCCGAGGTACTCACAATGGCAACACAGTAAGAAGCTATATTCAGATGGAGAAACAAATCTACCATAGCCAAGCCAAACAGTCAGCTGACATGGTTTAGAATAGATGGTTACTTTACCTCCTCATCTGCCAATCCTTCTTCTTCCATGGCCACTTCTAATTTCTTCTGCCTTTTCCAAAGAAAAAATAATTAGACTTTCTAAATATGTTCCTATTTCCATTTAAGAACTACAGTTATTAAATCAAGCCAATCATTGAGTATGTTATGCTAAGACAATCTTTCAAACTGAACCAAGATTCAACTATTCACTATGATCAGGATTCTTTCTTGAGATACTTAGATTTAGCATTTTCATACTGACCAAAGCTTTATTGTTTATCTCCCAATAAAAAATGACTTTTCCAACTCAGGACTCTGATGGCAAATATTTTAAAATTCTTTGGAGATTGAAAAGTCATATATATATATATATGATAATAACCATTGAGCAGAACTTTTGCTTTCCTAGGTACAGCCAAGTGTGGCTATCCAGCATTTTTTTTTCTAAAAACGTGGTTAGTTAAGCCAAGTACTTCGGATGCGGTTGCAGATGGTAACAGGGCTGTGGACCACGTTTTGCCACTCCTTCTTAAGTGAACAGTATTCCATGTCTACAGTGTTGGTGTTTTCCCTAATCGTGTATCTGGACAACTCATCCTAAGGTAGCTTTGGATTAAACAATAAGGACCAACACTCCTGAATTTACCCAAATGGGTGGAGGATTGAGGATCAACTATCACAGTCTTTATATCTGCTACTCATGAGAACACACCAAAGATAAGCTCCTTTTTAAATCAGTACTAAGATCACTCCCTTTCTCCCCATGGAAAATCCATTACCACTGTATCTGAACCCTGTTAGAGGCTCGGCAGCCCAGTGATGGTGATGAAACCAGGGACTAGTTCTCAGTGCTTATCTCAGGCTGAGTGCCTGCTGCTGGATTTCACTGATGTACTATTCCCCAGGCCCAGCCCTCAGAGTGAGATTTACACTCAGTACCAGCCTCTCTGCCTGCTATCACCAAAGGGTCTTCAGGGCTGCGTAGTGGGTGAGGAGTTCCAGTTTTTTATGCAGAATGAGCAGGAGCAGGAGGACCCTCCAGGAGGGACTATCAACAGAGAAAGGCTTACTGCCTGTCAAATCTACTGCACCCTTCCTCAGTCTCCACAAGAGCAATACTTCATGAAATCATGCCTTAATCTGCAAACTTACATCCGTTTCTATCATGTCTCAACAGGAAGATCCATCCATAGCTTCCCTGGAACGACTTTTAAAAGTAAGACTTTCCTGCTGGGCACACTGGCATTCAACTGCAATCCCAGCACTCAGTGGGCCGAGGCAGGAGGACTGCCAGAATGATAAAGGCCAGCCTGGCCTGCAACACTGCCATGTGGTAGAGCAGCTACAGCCCAGGATGCTGAGACCTGGTACGTCCTGCTCTACCTCCTCCACTTCCTCTTACTATGTGTGAAGAATGCTCTTCCTGGTCAAATGTCGCTGTCATTTGGGAAGTCTCCCACTTCACTAGTCAAAGCACGTGTCCTTTCTGGTGCCCTACTGCCACTGCCCACTCTCTCACAGGGCATCTGTGCACACCAGCTCTCTTACTACACTCCAAGGTTCACTGAGGCAAAGGACATGCCATTCTGTTTTCTCTATTCCCACTAATAAAACACAGCACCACTAACGTTCTACATTAGTCAGTAATTTCTAAAGCCATCTCTCTAAAGGAAAGCACAAAGGCATAACACAGTGCTGGAAAGATCTGTGATAAACACAACTAATGTGCAATTCAAGCATATGTGCACAAGACTCTGGGAATCCAGGAAATGAAACAAGCAACCAGGTGTACTGTCAGTGCAGGAAACTTAACAGCAGGCGGGTCCAGCCAGCCACAGAACACTAAGCAAACTTTAGCCTCTACTGTACCTGGTTTCTCTCTCTTCATGCTGCAAAATTAGGTTGCTGTAAAAATTCTCCAGTGTGAGCTTGGCCACAGTCACTCTTTCCCGGGTATGGTTGCTCATAGGAAAGGTGGTTGCTGCCCCTGCTGTCATTGCCATAGTAACTGGAACTGAAATGACATATAAAAGCAAATTCTTCAGCAATTTAAAAACAAAACAAACAAAAAACCTTCCCACTTCTTTTATCAAACTCTAAAAATGTTTCATTTCTACTAAGAATAATTCTACTATTAGTTAACACCCAGGTTTCTTAATTAAAATAATACAAAACTGTGGGAGCCCACAGAGGTTTCCTAGTGAGCTTGCTTTACCCAGCAGGGCTACATAAGGGGAAGGCTTGACCATGTGCATGGTTACCAGGTGCTTAGAAGGGTCTGCACTTGGCTGTGTGGTGTGCTTTGATCTAGCAAGGGAAAGGTCTTTTGCCCTGCCCCTTGGCATTATAAAAAGCCCTTCTGAAAAGACAGAAGGGGCTGCTGGGTATTGACCCGGGTCCTCCCAAGGCTATCTTGTGTTTCTGTCTGTCTCCTCTCCACTGTCTTTCTACAAATTCCTTATTCCTCTCTCCTCCTCATAGGAACCCTGTAAAAGGTGGGCACTGGCCTCCCACACCTCCCACACAAAGCTAATAAGAAACAGATGCAAGCCAGGTATGGTGGCTCATAACCACTCCCAAAGATGCACGGGGTTCAGAGCCAGAGAAATTAATTCTGTCCTGGAAAAAACAGAAGTTAATTACAGAAAGCGGCACTGGAGGCAGTCCACACATTAACAGGAGCACTAGTTCACAAAAGGCCGTACGTGGCAGTGTTTAAAACAAGGAAGCACCAGTCCATTTTGCTGATTTATTGACCACTTGTCAAACTTTATAAAATTTTGCCAATAGTTACATTCCCAATAAATAAATCTCTTAAGATAGAATGTGGTTTCGATGGTAAGCATAACTTCTGCTGCATAAATCCTCTGAAATTTGGCATGTCCTATTAAACATGCATGCGGGCACTAGCACTCTATGCAGATAGATGTTTTAGGGATGGGTCACAAATGCTCTTTCCATTCCAAATTCTGTTTCTGAGATGGCACAAGGTGTAGCATTTTTTTTTCCAGACTATAAGGTACGTTTCATTTTCAAATAAAGCTCAAATGCCTTTGAAAACCAGAAAGTAAATATAAATTAATCAGTTCTGAATAGTATACGTCTGCTCAGAGGCATCCAAGTGCCAACTTTGACGAACCACTGTATGAAGGTCATTTCAACTCTTAGGAAGGCAAGGAATTTGGTAAAACAGCCCTTTCACAGAAAGACGACTCTACAGGCCATGGTGGTAGCACTTCTGCAACATTTGCTTACCACAGGCTTTGATAAGCCACAAAGACAAGAGCAGCTCATACATAAAAGACTCTTGGTACCTAGAAGAAGGTCCTAACAGACCATTCTGGACAAGAGATGGCTTGCCAGGTGAGCATCCCAAGTTCTACTCAGCTGACCAGCATTCCCCACAAAGACATGAAGACATGGGGCTCTGCTTGCAGACCTGAGCAGAGCTGGAAGCCAGGGCTAGGGAAGAAACAAAGAACTCCTGTTCATCAGGCACAGATTGGAAGTATGTAATTTAACCCCATTGCTGTCTCATGGACTTTAGCAGACAGTGTACTACTATGTGAGTGCCTCAAACTCACTACAAAGCTGTTCTGCAGACCGGTTAACTCTCCCTCTGGTTATGAGAAGCTGACCCAGCCCTTGGTTAAAACTTTCATGGCTTCTTCTACACACACCACCACGTCAAATTAGCTTACAAAGCATAGCTGGCAGACACCAGGGATGGGTGTCTCAGGACAACTGTATTTTATTCATTGACTGAGGCCTTAGGATAGCAGCCCTCACGGCATCCTTAGGACAGGGACCTGGGGCTTGGGAAGCTCACAGAGCAATGGGCTGTGGAGTCAGTAGTCAATTCCAACTTGCTTTGGAGTATTACCCGAGCCCTCCTTCATGCCTACAGTCCTGCACATGACCTCTCTTAAACCACTCAGATGTGTGGGTACCTGCTGATGGTTGTGGCTCTACCTTGTCTCTAACCTTCTCTATGAGAAGACACCACTCATTCTTTGGTGGGCAGTCTCTGAATGTGCACCTCAGGCACCGGTGTACGTCTCTGCCAATCACTTGCCCATTGCTCTAACTAGAACTTCTCCAGGCACTATCTCCCCAGTTCCTCTTTGAACATTCACCACCGCATCCTATCTGACACAGCGCAGACAGTAATGAATGACGGAGACCACCTCACAAATAAGAATGACAGGAAGGGATGAAAGAGCTGGAAAAAAGCAAGTTTCTCTGACACTAGGGTCAGAAAAACAGTTCTAACCCATCCAGATCGTAAGGTCTGACCCCAGCCACCTTCCCAAGAGGAGACTGCAACCTGTGCTCTGCTGACTTTGCAGGCCTGAGGCCATGTGAGGGTGATGCCCAGGAAACCCACAGAAAGTCAGAGTGTCTCTGTAATCACTACATGCAGCTTCATTTAAAAATACTGCTGATGATATAATAATAGTATTTCTTTAAAATTAATAGTAATAGAAAGTACCCCAAGAATTGTCACAGTCACAAGATCTGCTAAGGACTCCACTGCTTTAACTGAACCCTAAGCAAAGCATTTTTTTTTTAAACCTCAGAATCCCAGGGCTCAAGTTCTGTTTTGAGATCAGATGTGGAAAAGGCGAAAGTAGGGGAAGAGAAACAGCTGTCACACAGCTAACATCTCCCAAATCATGTCTGCTGTCAGGATTGTGTGTGTGTGTGTGTGGGGGGGGTGTGGACCAAAGAATCAAAACTTCTGAGTAAACTTAAGAAACCTAGATCACAGTTAGGATGCTCAGGCAAAACTTGCCAGCTGTCTTATGTCAGCATGTGTGCACCCAAGGGTGCAGGCAGTGCCCTGGAGAGCGTCCTCAAGGCACATGAAGCCCAAGCTCACAGATCTTCAGAGCTTAAGGAAGCAAGTGTCAGCTACTTTTCTCAACGAACACCTTTTGGGGGCAAGAGTCCTCAAGAGCTCCAACCAAGTGCAATTCCTAAGGACTTCAGGATGCTTTCTGTGCCTTTCCTTTGGCAACAAGTGGTCCTGAATAGGGCAATGTCCAGCTGAGAAGACAACACTGGTATGGTACCAGTTCGCAGAAGCAAAAACCAGGCAAGAGCTAACTGTACTACTCCAGGACAACAAAATCCTTTCACAAAGCTAAGGAAGAATCAAGCTTTTCTTAAAACCTCTTTTAAAAATGCAAAGTGACAGTGATCATGGAGTTTCGTGACTTGTAATAATGCTTGCTTAAGTCAGGAAAAGAGGGTGGAGGAGAGACACCCTTGGAGCAAGCAACTGGCTGCAGCAGGGAGGTGCAGAATATACTCCCTACTCAGTTGGCCAAGATCTAGTGGTCAATCAAAATCTGGAAGCTACTATATCATAGCCAAACTTACAGAAGACTGGCACACAAACAGAAAATCAGTGTACTGATGTACACAGTAAGAGGTGGACTAGGGAGGAACAAGATCTGCATGTTGTCACAAAGCACTCCATTGTTGCAGGCCAACAAAAAAGAAGTCTGAATTAGGATGGTGCTGTTGCCAGGAAACCAGGTTAGTGTCCAGAGGAAGAGTCACTCAATATAAACATTCAGCGACTTCAGGATGCGGTGGGGAGCATGGCTAAAGAACCGATCCCTGTCTCCTGGAGTCCCCAGTCATGGCCAAGTGCTGGAGGAGACAATAACACTAACTGCCACAGCTGACCAAACTTCCCTTTAGGAGCAGGTCTGTGGGCCACAGGAGAAAGGAAGATAGCTGAGCAAAATCTTGGAAGACATTTTTATGTAACACATAAACGTGTGGCAGAAAATAAAACAATTCCCAAGTCCCAGAGAGTGCCTGCATTAAAAATATAGAGAGAACAAATGAGGTCCTCAGACACAGATCTGTCAATCTGGATCTTTATAAGGAATAAGCGGATGAGGCCTCTTTCCTCCCCAGAAGATGATGTAATGAACTTTACTCCAAAACCCAAAACAGATGTCAATGAAAAATTATTTTTAGGTACTTTATAATTGTTATTAGCATACTCTTTCCATTCTTGTTAGACACATGTGGAAGTCCATATGGCTTGATTGAAAAACCAGGTCAGAGAAAACGCTGTGCATCATTCTGTGATCGATGCCGGCAGCCTGGGCAGGTGTGCTGATGCCACACGAACAGTCGATTTGAATTTGATGGAGCTCAGCCCACGCGTGTGTCCCATCTGTAGTATCTCATTTGGGTCCAAAGCTACAAACCGCCTGGTGCCGTGTTCACCTTCGGAAGGAAGTTTTCCTTTTGAGACCGGTGTGCAGTCCTTGGTGAGATTAGCTTTTACAAGGAGAATTCTTTTGTTCTAACCAGACACAAGCAGTCTTTAAATTTTTTAATTATACAAAAAACTAAGAAATGCTCAAACTTTTCAAAGAATAATCTAGACCAGCAGTTGTTACGCTGTAAACCCACACCCTTAGTGGACTTAACGGTCTTTTATTAAAGCCCTTTCTCTAGCCAGAAAAAAAGACAGGGTACAACCTGTAAGCCTAGAATTCCCAGACTGAGAAACATACACCAGAGCCCTTCAACTTCCTGTTCACGTCAACAAGTGACCCCCAATTCATCAGGGAAATACTACCAACAGTGAAGTCCACCATTCCTTAGTTTAGTGGGCGGGAGACACGCACGCACGCACGCACGCACGCACGCACGCACGCACGCATCTACAAACAGAAGTGTGTCTCCATTACCAGCAAGCTTCAAAGGCAGAAAGCAGTGGCTTCACCTGACCCTGAATCCACCTCAGTATCTTGAACGCTACCGGAATGCCCAGCAGTGTGGCTCTCCTAATCCACCCTGACCCTGGGACTGCGCCTGAAGCTGCAGCAGTCCCTGATGCTGGGTCCCCGAGGAGGAGCAGCCGGCCAGTCTCTTGCCCAGGAGTAGATGAGAAAGGCAGAAATTCAGTCGGTTCAAAATCAACATTAAGTATCTATTAAAAAATCCAGAATATGTATGTAGATGTCATATACTGCTTTTTAACACTAAATCTGTAAACAAAGACCTTAATAAAAACAATAAATAAAAAAAGCATAAAATAGAAGTGTTCAACATTACGAGCCAATGAAAGCACAGAGAATTAACAGGCTACAAGGTGCTCTTTGAGGTGAAGGAGCGTGCTCCTCCAGGTGTCGACAGTGGGGCCAAGGGTAGGAATCAACCTGCATCACGGCACAGAGCCAGCGCCCTGTACCATAGTGGACCCGGGTTTTGTCTTAGGATCCAAAGGATTATGACAAGAGTTGATGTCATGGGAGCAAAACTAAAAACAAAGAGGATGTTTGGAGTGAGGAAAAGTGAGGAAAATCCTGAAGTGAGTTTTTCAGTTACATCTCAGACTCCTTTTAGGAAAGCAGTTTTTTACAGGAACTCTCAAAACTGCCTTCTTTACGGGGCTCAAATGACCAGTCTTTTCACATGTCTTCCCTGCCGATGACTCTAAGGCTTACATTAAAGCCACAAACCAGGGCAGCACAAACCTGAGCTCAACTACCTTCCAGCAGTATATGGCAAGGGGAGTTCAAACATGGAGAAAAGAGAAACAGAAAGGCTCTGGATCTGAGGAGGAGCCTGCCCTCTTGTGTCCTGTACTCCAAGGAAGCTCTGCCTGACATCAGATGCAGGCGCTGTGCCAGAAGGTGAGGGCCTGGTGTGAAGAAAGAACAACCAATGATTGGACAGGCAAGGAAAGGGGATCAGTGGTGAGAGGTGGTGTGACATCCTGGTCAGGGAGGGGCCAGCTGGGGAAGCAGCCTGAACCAGTGACTCAACCAGGCTGTATGTAAAGCTTGGGCATCTGGGGACACTGTTCACTTTCCTAAAATTGAACTTCTAATGGGAATGCACACACACAATCACTCACATACATACACATGAACACACACGAACACACACACTCATACATGCAGGCACATACACACTCACATACAAGCACACAGTCATTCACACTAAGAAAGGGTGTGAATTTGTGTGTGTGTGTTAGTCCTTTCAACTGAAATCAAAGGAGATCAGACTAACTGAATAATTCTGAACTACAAGTGGTCCTTTATGGGAGCAAGAAATTAGGACTAAAATTCAAGTGTATAGCTTAAAACCTAAGTAGCTACCAGTGAGTTTTATTAATTTTGAGTCATTTAAACTCTCCCAAGAGACTTTTTTGGCTATCACAAGTGACCAAAGAAACTGCTCCCAGCTAAAAACAGACACATGTGACTGGTGACTGACACTGTGCTAAGCACACAGACCACTCAACTTCAGCCAACCTGACAAGATCCAGAAGGCTCTGTCCTGTTGACACATCAGAGCACAAAAGTCTCTAAGACTTAATGACCATCCCATCAATTTACCACTGAGCCCTGAACAACACGGAAGCACAAACTGGATTATGTGGGGGGAATTGTGTGTGTGTAGAAAAAAACCACCTAGAATGGACTAAAAATAAACTGCAGCAAGCTGTCATCAAGGACACCCTTTAATTCAACTTAAGAACTCAGGACACCCTCCATGAAGCAGTGTCTGAGTTCAAGTCTCTCCAGAGTTTTCTAGACTCTAGTGCAGGTTCTAATATGAAAAATACATCTGAGTACCTTAAAGAGCCAATTTTGCTTACAGAAAACTGTCATTTTGACTGATGTAAAGACTATCTTATCTGTTAAGGGGCAGACCACCCCTCTACCACCACCCCACTTTCCAGATGTGAAGCCCACAGACACAAGTGGTATGGGAGAACAGGTTAGATAACCCACCCATGTGGTGTGGAAAAACAGGCTATGTGGCCCACAGACAAGGGTGGTACAATAGGCTATGTGGTAGCCTATAGTGAAGCTTCCACTGAGGCTGGTAAGGGCACAGGGCAGTGGCAATCCCAGGACACTACACCATCCTGCAGAACAGCTCAATGTCAGTACTGACGTGGGGACCAGCCAATGGACTCTGTGGTCCTTATCTGCTCTAACACAAGATCCCAATCTAAGCCGAGTTATTGCTTCCCCTTTTACCTTATAATCCGTGGATCAAAAAACTAACTCTGCCTACTTTGTCCAGATGGTCAAAGAAGCAAAATTAACCATGGGGTTTATTGAAAGCCACACTGATCCCCACTACAGAGAATCTTGGTTTTGTTTATGTGTTTCTTTGATTACAGTGAATTAAGTATCTTTCTATGATTTGTAAATAATTCTTTCTCCTCCTCTTCAAGATAGGGTCTCACTATGATCTGTCTGGCCTAGAACTCTCCATGTAGACCAGGCTGACCTCTAACTCACAGAAATCTGTCTGCTTTGTTTCCAAAGTGTTGAGATTAAAGGTTTGTACCACAAAGCCTACCTCGCTGACTAAAGTCTTTTATTCCAGTTTTCTGTGGAAAAGCTCATCTGGACTCTCTAACTATCACATCCCACTTTAAGTAGCTGAAATCACACCATAATGCTAACAGTTGTTAAGCAACTTCAATGTTCCCAGCATGAGAAAAGACAATGTTTTAGCTCACAAAAGAACTTGGTTATTTCAGAATGGAGATTTATATTCTTATAAATCCACAGGCTCACATCAAAACTACTAAACATAATCCAAAAACTTAAAAGATTTAGTAAAAATCATTATAAACTAAGATTTGGGCACCCAGATATTGGAAGTTTATTATTCACTTATTTGAGCCAACACACGTACGTTATCGTGTGTGTGAGTGTGGGTAGGGGTGAGGTCCGTCCTCCCCTTCCACTCTGAGGCAAGCTCTCCTTGTTCAACTCTGCATATGCCAAGCTAGCTGGCGAATTCTCCTGTTTCTATGTCCCACCTCACTGTAGGAGACCTAGGATCACAGATGCCTGGCTTCCCATGGGCACTGTGGGTCTCATTCAGGTCCTCATACCTGCATGGCAGGAGCTTCGCCCAGAGTCACCTCGACAGTCCCTTCCTTTATTAAATAACGACAACATCCCAGTTTGGAAAATGCTTTGCTGGCCATCAGCCCTGCAGCCTCCTTGTCACTGTTATCCTCCTGGGGGCTGCAGGCTGTGCTCAGCATGCTCACAGCCCGTCTTTTTAATGGACTCTCATGTCATAATCCCTGGAACTATTTCAGAGTTTTAAAATAGATACTGCCTATGCTCAGGTTTCCAAATGCTTCGCTGTCTGGGCAGGAAGCTTACTCACCACTGGAAGGGAGATAGAACCCTGGCAAAGATGCCCTGCCAGGGAACTAGGGGAAGTTCAGGACTGAGCTACCTTTAGATGGATTCCTGTGAGCCTGGCAGTCTCAGAGGCCCAAAAGGAACATTCTGGGAGATGCTGTCTCCCAGAACTGAGAAAGTAGCTCCTCTTATCTGTTTGGCAGCCTGTGGTCAGAAAGTTCTTCTTACAGCTAACCTAATTCTCTTCCACTCAAACTCAAACTCATTTGTTTTTCTCATATTTTCCATAAAATGAAAACCTTCACTCAAAGCTGGGGGGAGGGGGGTAACTGGAGTCTGTACTAGTTTTGATTCTCTTTCACTGCACAATCAATAAGTTCTTAAACTTTCATCCATTTTGCTAAGGAAAGAACTGATACGTTACTCAAGAAACCAGTGTGTAAATAATACCAACCTTCGAAATGTGCGTCTATCTAAAACTGCTACCTGAGAATTTAAAAGGCGCACTCCCCGGCCCTGGCGGGTCTCATGATAAACTAGTGACAGCCACTGTTAGCTGGCCTTCTCAGACACAGAGCTTAATGTGCAATGTGCAGTGTCCTTTTACCTTTGCTGTGTGGGAAGTAGGTGCCTTTCAAATTCAGGGATGAAGAGACAGGCTGAGTTACTTCAGCAGTTACAGAACCAGCAAATGCACCAGAGCCCTGCTCTGAATGCCGTCAGCCAGTGCTATCAGCACTTTCACTTTAGTGAGTCTTGTGGTGCTGGGAACTAACTAGGCCTTGGGCATGCAAAGCAGGCAATCTTGCACTGTGACTACCCAGCCCCAGCAAGCCTCTCTCACAGAACAGAGAATCTGCTCTTAACACCAAGTTCTTTATAACCAATTTTATTTATCTGACTCCTTCCCATTTTAAAACTTATGGAAAAAGCAACAAATCCAAGCTTTCAAACTAAAACCTCTTAAGAATGTGTGCCGGGCTGTGGTGGCGCACGCCTTTAATCCCAGCACTCGGGAGGCAGAGCCAGGCGGATCTCTGTGAGTTCAAGGCCAGCCTGGGCTACAGAGTGAGTCCCAGGAAAGGCGCAAAGCTACACAGAGAAACCCTGTCTCGAAGAAAAAAAAAAAAAAAAAGAATGTTAACCCAAGGGGTTGGAGAGATGGCTTAGTAGTTAAGAGCACTGGTTGCTCTTGCAGGGGACCTGAGTTCAGCTCTCAGTACCTATGGGGTGGCTCACAACCATCCACAACTCCCGTTCCAAGGTATCAGATACCCTCCTCTGACCTCCATGAGCACCAGGCAGACATGTATACATACATGCACACAGAGAAACTATTCATACACATAAATAAAATGAACAAATCTAAAACATTTTTTTAAAAAGAATGTAATCTTAAAAATTAGGTGAGGAACCCAGTATGGTGGCACATGCCTTTAATCTCAGCCCTTGAGAAGCTGGTAAGTTCAAGGTCAGCCAGGGCTACATAAGTGAGACAGTGAGACAGACAGACAGACAGACAGAAAGGCAGAGAGAGAGAGAAAGAGAGAGAGGGGGAGGGAGGGAGGAAGGGAGGGAGGGAGGAAGGAACGAACGAACGGGAAAATGCGTAACATAAGACTAGATGGTATGAGCAACTGCAGAACACGGCTGACTGACCTAGATACTTACCCTTCTTCACTGTTACCACATGAAACTAAACTTTCATTTTCACAGCTGTATGATGCATCTCATCTCCCTGCCCTCAGCTGCACCTTCCCTCTAAATGTGAGCCTGCTTTCTGGGCCTTTACTTGGAGAAAGTATGGCTCACCATCCAGCCTCAGTCTTAACCTCAAGCTGATTCTGGTTCCTTTGCCAAGGTATTTCTGCTACCAGACACAAGGATCCAAATAAAAGATGATGGTTTTCTAAAGCCCCTTTCTAAGTTACATACAAACTGACAGTATCTGTTAACATTATAGGCGGCACAATAAGGTATTTAAAAACCCACTAGTTAACAGGAGAGATGGTGACTCCTGCAATGCCACTACTCCAGGAGGGCAGCATGTCTGAAGCTAGCCTAGAAACAAACAAACAAGCCTATTAGTGTGTGCTGCCATGTGGGTTTCCAGGGTTTCCTGGAAACAGTAGTAAAATAAAGCAGGTAAGAGGGACACAAAGATCACACCATAAAGACAGTGTACTAGGCACTAGAAGTGTAAGTGGTTGCTGAATGTGCAATACCACGGAAGTATAGTAAGACTAACCCATATAAACACTGGGTGCAAAAACAAATGCCTGGGAGGGACTCGGTGATAAAGCAGGGCTTAAGAATAGGGACAGGTGCATGTAAGCTACAATACCAGATACAAACAGAGTAGGTAGCTCTGCTTTAGTCTAACTAAATGCCAGGTGGATATGCTGGGGTTACTCGTAGTCACTGGGCAGTGAGCTAAAAGAAGTGTCTCCCACTGGCCAGAACCGGCCCCTCTAGACTAGGTAGGGAAGTTCTTACCACAGCCTGATCCTGACAAGTCCCTCTTCATATGAGTTCTGCATCCACCCAGCTTCCTGACATGACGGAAAGTTACTAGTACAGAAGCCCCAGTGTGTGAGCTTGTCTATTTCTGGAAAGAAGTAGTTCTTTCAGAATTACTGAGTCAGAAATTTTTACCAGCACTAGGTTTGGTTAAAAAAAAAAAAAAAAAAAAAAAAAGGAGGGGGTAATTTTTAGTTATGTAAACATAATGGACATTCTGTCTCCTTCCAAGAAGCAAAATCTAAAGCTATACACAGCTGGGAAATATTCCAGAGGGACTAGGGCAAAACTTGCTTTTAAAAAAATTACAAAAATTATTCAATTACATGCAAACTCTACAGTTATTTTGCCTTTTTAAAGTTTATTCATTTAATAGACATAAAAAGTACGCCTATTTATAGGGTGCCATGCAATACTGGATACAGACACACCGTGTGGTGCTCTGATCAAGATGGTTATCTGACTTTTAAAGCCTATGAATCATGTTTCTCTACCCATTTGTTCTCAGGAACATCACTCAGGCAGGGAACACAATACGGCCTTCATTAGGTACTTTCTTTGCAAACAGAAAACTCACCGTTAAGTTGATTTTTAAGTCAACTTCACTAAAATAAGTTCACCTACTTACTTCCTTTATCATTTTAAACATTGCTGGTGCTTTAAATGTGTGTAAACAGCACACACAGTAGGATGTGCAAGGCTCACATGACGTCTCAGATGCTTTCCACTGAGACACACAGGGAGGTTACACACCACTACACCACACACCCAACAGCTTTGCAGCACACATTTTAAAAAGTAAAAACAACAGCAGCATATAGTTCCCTACATACTTCAAGAGTGGTTGAGGTCAAAGAGGAATGACTACGTTCTGAAATGAGGAACAGGGTACCAAGTTAGGCTTGGAGAAGGCAGTTGTATTTTACTGCACAGTAGGGTGAATGGAGTATGTCTCTGTCTCTCTCAGAGGTGAGTATGTTAGTGAATGTTCCACTGCTGCAACAAACAGTGTGGGCCTGCAGTGAGGCAGAGCTCTCTGGTACATGGAGGCTAAGAAGTAGCAAGACAGAGAAGAGCCCAGGTCAAGTCAGCCATCAAGAACACTGTCCCAGTGACCCTTATCTCCCAAAGTTCCGTGTCCCTACAATAATGCCATCCAATCATGATTCCATTAGTAGACTGGATTGATCTACTGATCAAGTTAACATCTTCATGATGTAATCACCTCTCAGTGAGAGCTGGATTCAGTAGCTGGTGAATGAACTTTTTATAGGGAGACAATCCATATCCAAAGCAGAAGAAAGGCAGGTTGCTCCAGGCCACCCTAGGTGATAGTGAGACCCTGTCCTAAAAACCAGGAGGGAGAAAAAAGAAAACAGAAATTGACACAGTGTAGATGAATCAAGACCTACCACAGCTTCACACCGTTTAAGCTAGTAATGGGTACATGCAAAAACACCACGTTCCTCATTTTCATGTTAATTTTTTCCCCTATAAAAAATTTGGGAAGGAAATCCTAGATTTAATATTGATGTCAACTTGAGAGAATTTACAATCACCTAGGAGACAGATGTTTATGAGAAGGTTTCTGGATTAGGTTGAGGTGGGAGACACCCTGGATGTGGGCAGCACCATCCCACATACTGAAGGTCCAGACTGAACAAAAAGGAGAAAGCAAACTGAATACCAGTCTTCAGCCCTCTCTCCTTCCTGACTGCAGGTGCAATGTGGCCAGCTGCCTCAGGCTCCTGCTCCACGCTGTCCCTACCACGGTGGACTGTCCCTTCAATCAGTGGGTCAAAATAAACCCGCCCTTCCTTAAATTATCTTAATTAGGTATCTTGTCACAATGCAGTAATACAACAGGGGTGGTGGCACATGCCTACAATCCCAGGAAGGCTGAGTCGGGAAGACGGTGACATCAAGGTGGCCTGGACCACATAGCAAGATCCTGTCTCAAAATGAAAACAAACAGAAAAAACCCAAAGGCCTAAAAAAATGATGTAACTTTTATCACAGTAAATGTCTTGCCATATTTCAAAGTTTTGGTCAGTCACAGCAAGGGGCAGGCAGATTAATCCTCCTGTGGCCACTAGTCAGTAGTAACTCAGTTTCTGGCTTTCAGTTTACCTGCTGAGAAAGTGAAAGGGTTGGTAAGATATTTCAGTTCACTTTCTGCTATAAAATAATAATTAGATTTATAAAACAGTTAAACTCTCAAGTGTCATTAATTTATACCATGACCACATGGAGTACCCTCATTTATTTCACAGACATTTAGAGAATGCATCCCATGTGCTGTATGATATGGACAGAATGCAGTCAGCACGATGCAGACACCACCAATACAGTGTAAGTCTGAGGCTAAACCTGGTAGACTGGAAAGACAGCAGACAGTGGCCAGACAGGACTGGATAGGACAGGGAAGGACTGTAAATGTGAAGCCAAGGAGCCCCAGTACCACTGTGGAAATTAACAAGGAAGCCATGCTAGAGACTTCAGGAGGAGAGGGTGCTCCAGTTCACAGAGTAAGCAAGTGCATTTGGTGGTTAGCAAGGATTCGGGAAGGACAGAGAAAGGAAGAAGGAAAGGAAGGGAGGCTTTTGTGGTAGTTAGGCGACAGTGAGGACAGTCTGTCCAGCAGGCTGGGGGCCTGAGCACAGCAGCATCAGCAGAGAGTTCTGAGACCTCATTCAAGTGCTTCAAGATACATAGAAACTTTCAGGAAAAGGACCTAGCCTTAGAGTTCACAGCTCATCAAATGGGATACAGTTTCTAGGACAACATCTTACACACAGTAGGTGCCTAATTAACAGGGACTGTGTTTTGAAAGTGACAGATGTTAAGCACACAAAAAGGATAGCTTGTTCTGTCTGGTCCCTGCCACATGGTATAGGTGGCAACTCCTTGCTGACTAGCAGATCTTAATGATGTCACAGCGTATATACATCATTTCTGATGACTCAACACGCTTCTGTATTTACCACATAACTATGCAGAACACTCTCCGTGTGTTGACTCAATAGGCCTTTTCCTTACAGCTGTCTTATATCGTGGCCTCATAAAAAGGCACATCAGAAAGTATCAATCGGTATAGATGACAAACTACATGGATTTTGCTTCAAATTTTACAATAAAACAGCAATTTTTTCCTCAAAAATATTATTTGTGGCCAGACTTTGTGGTGTGCACCTGTAATCCTAGCACTTGAGAAGTAGAGACGGGAAGATCAAGCTTTCAAGGCCTCAGCTACATAGTGAGTTTGAGGCCAGCTTGGGCCACATGAGATGCTAAGCACCTGACTGACAGGCAAGTGGGCTCACAGTGTGCACCACCACGCCCAGCCCCAGACTCAGCTTCCCAGTCATGACTCCCTGCTCTCTCATCTGCAGTCAGGTTTCTGTTTTCCCAGTATTCATTTCATCACCCACATTAACTGTCCAAGTTTTCATCATATTGGGCTCTGAGAATGTCTACAATTAAGTCCTTCCAGAGCAAACAGATTCAACAGCTCTGATATACTGTACACACAGTGACTGTGGGCTAAGAGAAAACAAAAACAAAACAATTCGGGGTGACTTTGTATCTCAGGCAGAGTGTTAAGAGAACCCACCCTAGAATACACAGAAGCACAGTCCAGTCATCATATACAGAAGTCTGGATTTCCTTCCAAGACAAATATGGAATTCAATCAGTGTGATGCCTTCCACACAGCGAGTTCATTTTTAGTCCTTATTTGACTACACAAAGGCGGGAAAGGGGAGACTTTTCCTCTCCTTCCTTGAGGAGGCAAGAGAGGAAAAATGTAATATTTAAAGTTGATGGTACAATTTAAAAACTTTTCCATTAATGTGAACACCCAGCTGAGTCATGTGCCTAAGCCCTCAGTAAGGCACCTCAGTCCTGGCCTTCCTAGCCGGCTCTGCCCTAGGGTATTTATAGAAATGCCAAGGGGTGGAGCAAAAGACCTCCCCTCCAGCACAGCCAAGTGCAAACCATCTCAGACACCTGCACTCAGGCCCGTGGTCCAATCATCCTCTCTATGTGGACCTGCTGGGTAAAGCCACTAGGAAACCTGAAAATGGGCTCCCACACTAGCCATGGTCCTTCCATCTCTGCCCATTTTTAAATGAAGGGATGAGAAGCCAGAGCATGCCTCTGCTAACATCCCATAATCTTTACTAAGTACTGACTTTTATTCATGGAGTCTATCTACAGATGAACTAGTCAACAAACCACAGCCAGTAAAAATTGTACCTGGAAACAGCCAATTGTCATAGTAGCATCAGCTTAAAGAAAACTCATAAGCCAATGAGATGTTTTAAATCCAAAACTAAGGTGCAGAGGAAAATATGTGTAACCCAAAGCCAGGAAAGCAGACACTTTTAGATGTGTTTGGTGACTTCCACACAGTTATGTTAGAGTCCCTATGTTGCAGGGGCTGGGAAGACAGTTCAGTCAGGAAAGCATGAGGACATTAGTCCATCCCCAGAAGGGCCACAGCATGGCCTGGGCTTGTAGTCCCAGCACACTCGGTGGATGGATCAGATCCATGGGGCTTGCTGGCCAGTCAGCCTGGGCTACTTAATGTGCTTGAGGACAGTGGAAGTTTTATCTCTTGTTCAGGATGGTGCTTCAGAGAAATACACACACCCACACACCCACACCCACACCCACACCCACAGAGAGAGAGAGAGAGAGAGAGAGAGAGAGAGAGAGAGAGAGAGAGAGAGAGAGAGAGAGTGAGTGTGTGTGTGTGTGTGTGTCTGTGTCTGTGTCTGTGTCTGTGTCTGTCTGTCTCTCGGGAAGCCCTCTGCAGTGTTGTCTGCCATCCCTCACTGACTCTCCAGGGCACACAGCCTATGGAGGATGGAGTTAAAGGTGTGGGCATTTGAAATCTTTCAGATTACTGTCAGCTCACTAAACCTAACAACTACTCATGTGGAACCCTCCAGCAACTAGCTCCAAGCTGTCCTGACAGTGTGTGGCCCTAAGCCCCACATGTAGTGTGTTTTCCCACTATCTGGCTATGACATC